CAAATCGCAGAACCCATCAATGCGAAACAGTTTTTGAAAATTGAGGGTTAAAAGGGAATATGGGATCTAGTGGAGGCAAGCTTCTTCGAGAGGTGAGCTATGATTGCCATCGTTGTCAGAGACAAAGTACTGGGTGGAGGAGGAAGGGGAAGATTTGGGGAGGATTAGAGAAGAGAATACATCATGGGGAGGTGAACTAACTGGTGAGAAAGTGGGTAGGGTGAGACTCCATTAAACTGTATCATTAATGTGTGCTAAAATGTTTTTAATGAATTTAATGAAACGATGAGGTGGGCAAATTTAATGAGGTGTCGTTGTTTGATTAGTTTGGGATACCATGTTAGCTGGTATACCCGTGATATATTAGAATTTCTCGTATATACCCCACACTCGATGACTTAAAGCCTGTTTGATCTTCAACTCCATACCTTGTGAAATGGCTGCATGGATATATAGCATTTGACAATATTACCATGAGAAATCACAATTTCTTTAAGCTCAATTACATTCTTGTGATTTAGCTTCTTTAGAATTTTGATTTCACGTATTGCAGTGATTGTAAACTGCAGGGGAGAAATTCAACAGATAAATAAATTATTAGAAAAGACCTTAGATAATTTGAAAAGGAGGAAAAATTATGAAAACATAAACATACCCCTTCTCTCTCTTTGTCCATTCGTAGTCTCTTCAAAGCAACAATTTCACCCGTTTTCTTTTCTTTGACCCTGTAAACTTGACTGCAAATAGAAAAAACAAGCAGGGTCATATCAGGTCGACTCAAACAATCATACGTACGTAGACATTGTAGGACGGTAGAAAACAACGAAACAATGAGAGAACTGACCCGTAAGTGCCTTCGCCAACCTGCTCCAATTTGCGAAACAATCGACGCGTTTAGATCCCCCCAAGGGCAACTCGTTCATGTTAAGCCGACCAAGAACCGCGACAGCTATCCCTTGTTTCTGTATATAGGATTGATCGATTCAATTGAATTGCTGAAAGAGAAATTAGGGTTTCGCGAAGAACTGACCCAGGAATGCAACGTCGGTGAAAAGTGGAATAGGACAGTCAAATTTTGATGATACTTACAAAAACAAGGGAAAAAAGAAGGGAATATAATGCAGTCCAGACTGCACACACATCAGACATCACAATTCACAACACTTACCCTTAATGAAAATTGTTTAGTAGTGTCTAGGCCAATGATGTCATATCGTCCAGGTTTCTTGATTTTATCCTTTCCACCACCAGATCCTGATTCCAAAGCTCCACTCACAGGAGCAGAGCAAAGCACTGCAGTCACCGCTGCACCATGATGTCTAAGCGACAACTGCACCAGGAGGCACATCAGAAACAAGATCACCACTTACAACCTGCAGGGACGTGAAGTATGCTTTAAAGCATAAATTTTATCACATAAGCCAACTATTATGAAGGATAGCAAATGCCAACCAAAATGTCCTCCGCAGTCAGGTGGTGTGCCATGGCCCTAATTGCACCAGCTGTTCCCACATCCTCAGGTACTGCAGCAACCTGCAATATCAAGAAAACATAACAAATTAAACTATAAATAGGATAGAATCACATGGTTAGAACTTAGAATAATTGTATTTAAGTACAATATGACACACCCCAGATTTCAGAGAAAACATGATTATAAGCTGTGAAAGAGAAGCAATCGAACATTTTGTAGCTAATCATCCAACAAATGAAACCATCCAGATACCTCAACATGTAGACGATCAACATAAGC